TATTCATGAGTCCAGAAAGCTGGGTTTATGGAACCCGATTAGGACCACAAAAAGTCCTGGATTTCAGGGGGGGGAGCTCAGCAAATTTCCTAGATGGGTTTCTATGACATTCGTAGGCTGTCCACGTTAAGGAAAGGCAAGTCTTCCAAATATCTTTTAAGGTAACCTGCAAACTGGCAAAGGGAAGGGAAGAAGTGGGACAAAAATCCACCCTTCTGATGGCCCCCTGAGTCCTGACGGTCACTGACTCACAGGGCACAAACAAACCTCTCCGAAGGTTTCCATGGAGGTGGAAAGTGAGCCGCAGATCCTCCACGGCTACACCAAATGCCCAGCTTCCCTCCTGGCAGGTGGGTGCTAAGGAATGACACGTCCTTGTAAAGAAGGACCAAAACCGCTCAAGCGGACTGTAACCTGAGGTCGGGATGTTCCTGACCTTCTGGATGCTCCTGCCTGACTCAGCCATATTCATAAAAGTGAATCCAGAGGACAATCAGCAGGAAAAACCCCTCTGGCCTCTCGAAGCTGCACTGAAGTCTCAGTGGCCCGGCTGCTCCCACAGAGCAGTGGGTCCCTGGGGCGGCGGGGTTGGGGGGAGGTGATGGGGTCCGGGCATCAGGAAGAATTGGGGGCAAAGTCCTCTGGTGGGCAGCTCTCCCCGGGTGGGATTGACACGGCTGAGCAGAGAGCATGCTGAGGCACCTGCGGCTGCCAAGTGGGCAAGGACGAGAGCACAGAGACGGGCAGCCCCGCGGCATGTCGCTGCACTGAGTCACTCCAGAAAGACAAAGAACAATGTGATTGCAGGCGGTTCGCAGAGCTCCAGGAAACCAACCCTTCCAGTTTATAACAATACGAATCTGAATTATTAAAGGCTAAGATGAAGAACAGCTGCCCTGAAGTTAGGAAATTCAAACGGGTTATTTGCTCAGGTCACATCATACAAAAGAGGGTCTGTCCGGCGTGGGGCCAGCAGGTCGCGGCACAGGAACTGGGATCCACAGGCAGCCCCGTGCCTCCATGGGCGTGGAGTGCAATTGTCCTCGAACCTCAGGAAACTGGTCTTGCGCTGTGCGCGGGGAACACGAGCGACCACGCTGTTAAGTGTGGCTGTCCGCTATTAGATGTATCAACTCGGGCAGTGTGTCCAGGAAGGAGACCAGTAAATCCCTTAAAAGTTCTCCTGTTGGACTTCCAAACCGACAATCTCCCCTCGTCCTCGGCTCCGTGGGAAGGTCTTGGACATGGCACCATGACACATAGCACTGACTTGGCATACGGTCTTATTTTTGAATTATATCAGTTAAGAGTGTGTTTTAGGGTGCCTGGGTGGCTCAGTCGGTTGAGCGACTGCCTTCGGCTCAGGTCATGATCCCAGGGTCCTGGGATCGAGTCCCACATCGGACTCCCTGCTCTGCGGGAAGCCTGCTTCTCCTTCTCCCACTCCCCCTGCTTGTGTTCCCTCTCTCGCTGTGTCTCTCTCTGTCAAATAAATAAATAAATAAAATCTTTAAAAAAAAAAGTGTGTTTTAAAAATTAGAAATGGATGTCGAATCTCATCAAATACAGTCATGGAGAAAATCAAGTGATAGTCTGCCATTTCTTGGTGAAGGTCACTAATCTGTTTCCTGGTATTAAAACATTCCTTTGACTGGTTTAAAACTCATAAATGATCATGGCATATCGTTCTTTTAATCTGATGCTGGATTCAATTTGCCATTGTTTTTGTTTGTTTTGTTTTGTTTTTTAAAGAAAGAGAAAGCAGGGCGCCTGGGTGGCTCAGATGGTTAAGCGTCTGCCTTCGGCTCAGGTCACGATCCCGGGGTCCTGGGATCGAGTCCCGCATCGGGCTCCCTGCTCCGCGGGGAGCCTGCTTCTCCCTCTGCCTCTGCCTCTCTCTCTCTCTCTGACTCTCATGAATAAATAAATAAATAAAAGAAAGAGAAAGCATGAGCAGGGGAGGAGGTGTGCAGAGAGAGAGAGAGAGAATCCCAAGCAGACTCCATGCTCAGCATGGAGCCCGACATGGAGCTCCATCTCACAACCCTGAAATTATGACCTGAGCTGAAATCGAGAGTCCAGTGTTCAACCAACTGAGCCACCCAGGCACCCCAGCAAGATTACATTCTTAATAAAGATCATAACCTTCAATCACAACAGTATTCTGAGAAAATGCTAAATTCCCAAAGTCCTGTTTTATGATTTCTAGATACTTGTTTCTAGGGCATCAGGATCAGTATGCCCCAGGCATCATGTTGGAAGGCAGCCTCACTGCCCTGTTCACTGGGACACTGCCAGCTCCAGGAGGAGGGGCAGGAAGGTCCTCTCTCCACACAGAGCCCGTGGCCCGGTGTGAAGACCACAGAGCTGCAAGCTTCCTGCCCTCCTTCAATGGGGAGAAGGGGTTCCACATTTTGGGGCAATGCGTGATTCCCTGGAATCCTCGGTTTCATTGATAGGGTTCATTCATCTTTATAGGGTTTTCTCAATTTAGGTATTCTGGTATCAAAATCAGTAAGACTGGCATGTGGTTGTTTTGTCTTTTTAAAAATTAGAGATATTCTGCCCAATTTTGATAGCAATACATTACTTAGATTCGTAGAAGTGCATCTGGGAGCTTTCTCTGTCTCTGTGCTCTGCAACAGTCCAAGGACATTTTGAATGTATGCGTCTTCTTGTAGTTTGGTACTATGTCACCTGTGGGACCATCGGAACCAAGGTGCCTTTGGAAGGGTGGTCTTCACGCTGCTTGAAGCTTCTGTCTGACTCGAGTTAGCTGGTGCATAAGGAGTATTGAGGGCTGTTCTCGCGTTCCAAATATTTTATAATTCACTGAATTTCCTTAATTTTTGCTTTCTCATTTTTATTCTGTGCATTTATTGCACTTTCTTCCATCATATTTAGCTACATATTAGCTAATAATTTATTTAATTGTTGTTAAAAGATTGATCTCAGGCTATTTCTTGCTGATTTAATTAAATTACATTTTCATCTTTACAAATGCTTAGTTTGTGCATGTGTGTGCATTGCGTGCGAGTGTGTGCATGCATATGCATATGCACATTTTCCTGATGATTTCAATTGAAGACTTATTTATTTTCATTTGCTGCACTCCATAACAGAGACCCTACTTTCCTCTGAGCACTAAGTTAGTGGTATACATGGTACTTTGTTTTAAACCTAGAATCTAGAAATAATAGCACTAACCTTATGGTATGAATGAATACAAATGCACAGAATCATCTTTCTTCTGAAATTTTGTATTGAACTTTTCCATTATTTTATGTTACAAAGACAGTAAGGGGCACCTGTCCTTTTTTTTTCATAGATTTTCTTCTAAGTTCTCCACACAACCGGACATCGTATTTCCTATTCTGTAACAATTATGTTTTCCTATCATTTGCCAATTTGCTAATGATGTGCACACTTAAATAGCTTTCTTACAATTTAAATAATTATTAGTAAATAACCTTTAAATAATTTTAATAACTTGGAAGTGACTTGATTTTCGGGGGATAGATAGGAAAGGTATCAGGATATCAGTAAGATTCTCTAGTTCTTTACTCTAGTTACTTTATTAAGATTTGTCCTTGTTTTAATATAGTTGAATCCATTTCTTCCCTGGGATACAATTACTCTTTAAACATATAGATCTATATCCTTAATTCAGGAAAGTTTTCGTAAATTATATCTTCAAATATTTTTTTTCCTGTTTTTTTTTTCTTTTCTTCTTTATCTGACTTCTATGTGTATGATTTTCCCTAAAATCAGTTTTAGGGTTTTTTTTTCATCTCATTTTGTTCTCAAACTTGCCATCTGGATCCTTCACTCTCTTTTCTGTGATGAATCTGTTACTTTTTTCTTTTGCTCAGCCCGTGTTTCTGGCATCTGTTTCTTTTCTTTCCTCAACTCTGTCCATTCTCCTTTGTGCTTTTATTCCACTTTTTAGCTCTGTCATCTGGGCTCTGCTCTCTTATTTCAGAGAGGGAAATTTTCTGTGCATTTAGTCTTGTGTGCGGAGAACACCTTGCCTACAATCTCACCTGTGTGTGGCAATCCTTTGCAGGCCTGCTCTTCATCTCCTTCCCTCATGGCCATCTTTAATGACTGCTTTCTTGGGCAGCATGTTGCATCACCTCGTGGTGATTTGTGTTTGTTATGAGCGTCCACTTCTGCACAAAGGGTCCATCTCACTGTGGCCAGGGAGCATGCCACTGGGCTGTGTGACGGTGGCTGGTCTGGGCTCCAAGGTGTCTCTCTGGATCTCAGGGAGCCCCCCAAGAACACACGTCATGCTGGAGCCCAATGCTCATCTGGCTTTTCACCATGTACCTGCTGCAGTGTGTGCATCTCAGGGCTCCAGACCTGTGGGCCACCAACAGCCCCTCTCCTGGCTACACATCAACAGACGGTTTCTGCAAAAGATGGCTTTCCTTCAGCCCCGTGTCCCCAGCACTCATGTTCCAGGGGATTCCTTTAACTCTGTTGTGTTGTATTACCTTTTCATCCAAACCAGGGGCCTTCCTTTGGTTACCACCCCACCCCCCTCGTGTACTGTTGAGATTGGAGAACTCTGTGTGCTCTGGGAAGTGGCAGGATCCTCTCCCCCTTTGGTCTAATTTTCTCTGTAGTGGCCACCATTTTGGGGATTCTTGGTCCTGTTCTGGAGCATAGATATTTCCTGGTGTCTGGGAGGATGGAATTTCCATTTCTGGTTCTCCCTATCTCTGTTGCTCCCAGCTATAATCAGAGGTCAGGGAGCACAGAGATATTTCTGCCACCATCATTAGCTGGAAGTCACAGGACACATTTTCCGTGATTAAGCAGTTCTTCAGTTCTGACCAGCGCACCTTCCCACCAGCTGCCTACCCAGAGGGGATATTTATGCAAATAGACCTCATGATCTGAGTGGCAACCAGTTCATATCTCTCTTAGAACTTAAAAAACATTCTTGCTCTAAAGTAGAGCGATAAAAATAAATTCTCATTTGCTTACCCCAGTGGCTTGTTAGGCAGAAATGCCCACCGCGGGACAGCCTTCTGCCCTGGTCTCTCCTGTATCACCAAATCGCAGCTCTGGACGAGGACGTTGTAGGCTGTCAGACAAACCATGAATTTTCCACAGAAGTTCATCTAGCAGATCGGAAACTTCATCCATGTAGTAATTCTGAAGCAAAGAAAATTAGATTAGTGAATGCCCTCAAGAAATGAATTTTTTTCTTTTCCCCTCATTTTCTGAAGCATTTCATGGCACTGACTTTAGATGGTATTGTGCTTTGTGAGAAAGCTCACTGGAGTCAGAGACCTGGGTGCTGGGCCTGAGTTCTTGATCTCAGTTCCCTGACTCCCTGGTTCACACACACGTGTGCATACTCATCCCTGAAGCCCTGGGTCATGTACATGTGTGCACATTCGTCCCTGACACCCTAGGACACATATACGTGTGCACACTCGTCCCTGACTCCCCGGCTCACACACACGTGCACACTCGTCCCTGAAGCCCTGGGTCACGTACACATTGTGCACACTCGTCCCTGATGCCCCAGGTCATGTACGTGTGTGCACACTCATCCCTGATGTCCCAGGTCATATGCAGGCAAGCGTTAGGGTTCAGAATCCCTATATGAGGACTATCACGTGGGTTTAAAGGCAGTAAGGGATGGTAAAATACGTAATAAAGAGTGAAGCCCTATAAAAATGCCCAAGATCACAATTGCACATGATTGGCTTTGGAACTGTACTCAGAGATATGTAAGTATCCGTCGTGAAGGAGAGCTGGGCATTCAGTGTGCAAATGCCTGCTTTGTTTGCTTGCAGTCATGTCAGGGGGATTAGGCTGACCTACGTCCCCATGTTTGGGGAGAAGTTTGGCACTGGTGGGCAGAAACCAAAAGCAAACGGCTGTTCTGTAGGGACATGGTGGGGTGTTTGTGTGTGTTGTGGCGGGGGAGGAATCATAAACTCAGTCTTTCTAACCTCACAGGGTCATCCAAGGATACCATGAGTTAAGGGAAGAGAACCTGCCTGGTAATCTGCTAAGTGCTGGAAATGCCACGGCTCTGCAGTGATGGGGGCACAGAAACCCATCGTGCTTGAATAACCGGAAGTGAGGTTACAAGGAAAGCATCCTCCGGGCGAGACATCGTGCTCACTAATCCAACACCCACAGCTTACCCGCCTCCCAGCCATCTCCACCTCCTCCCGCTGCGGCCTCTCCAGCCCCAGCCAGGCCCGGGCCGCCCCCCGCACGCAGGCAGTCATATCGGCCAGGCTCACGAGGGACTGGCTTTGAAAAGATTTCCTTTTTCGAGCAAGAGTCGCGAGGGAACCTCTCAGCTGGGGAGAAGAAAGAAAAGACAGATTTCATGTTATCAACCAAAACATGGCTTCGTTAATGTGATAGACTATAAAATGGGGATTCTATCTGATGATGCTATTTTATGACCTTTTAGTAAGACAGCAACTGCTGAGCAAAAAAAATCGGGTGCATGGAACTAAATTGCAACAAGGTGAATTCAATAATCAAGACGGATATATAAACGGATATATACATAAAGGCTGTTTTCAGTCTCTAACAGTTGAGGACGAAGATTGTCAACACGGTGTGCATTTCCACATGCAAACTTGGTTTTGGGGTGCTCTGCAGCCCCGTCAGGCTCTGGGGGGGCCCCCACCGCATGAGCCTGAGTCTGTGCCCAGGAGACAGGAAGACGAGCTCACATGCTCTCTGCAGAGCGGCCCCAGCTTGTTTCCTTCTTTACTGCAGGCTGAGACCTGCTTGCTCAGAAAGCCTGTAGGCACCAAACTCAAAGTTGTACGCATTCAACTGTTGTAAAAATAGTCCAAACAAGCAAAGTTTGAGCCATTTCAGAGCCTGCTTTGCATACCCTGTGAATATCACAGACAGCTGTTACCAGTTTCCGGACTTCAGCATGCTGCTGCCCTTGGGATCTCTGACTCAGACTTCCCACTTGCTGTTGGGCGACGTCTACACACAGAAGACCCCTCTCCCACCCCTCCCCACATCCCCCTGCCCTTCCCCGGTTCTTGATGGTGGCCCTGAGACACAGCCTCTGGACAGTCTCGGGCTGTGACCCCTGTCAGGACGTGGCCACATACACCTTGTGTGTTACTGTCTCTCGTGGTCTTATCTGTTTCCTGGATCAGCCCTAAATCCCTTGAACCCCTGGCCACGTGTCAGAACCCTGCAGGGATGCCTAGATGCCTGAGGACAGGACACTGTCCATTCAGACAGCATATGCGGGTCTGAGGCTTCCCGGCTCTACCAGCCACATGAGCCCCAGGAGCCTGCTCTCAGGGACCCCCGGGTACCACTGCCTTCCTGTTCCTGATGATAAAGCCCAAGCACCTCATCATCTTAGTGTGACATTCAGGGCCCACCATGCCTGGCTCCAAGCATCGTTCCCAAATCCAGCATGGGCCTCGCCACCATCTTCACTCTTGGGATGCCTGCCTCCCCCCCGCCAGGTGCTGTTCCCTTTGAGGAGATGCCTCAAATAATTAAATAAATACTTCTAAAGTAAAATAAAATAAAATAAATAAAATAAAATTGCATACAATTTGCTAAAAACTACAGAACACTGAAGACAGACATGAAAGATTTAAATGAATGGAGACACAGACAGGATTCTTGGGTTGATAAACTTCCTATTATGAAGATGTCAGTTCTCTCCAAATTTGATTTACACATCCACAGCAATCTTGAGCAAAATCCCAGCATGCTGTTTCATAGATGCCGACAAGCTGATTCTGTAATTCATATGGAAAGGCAAAAGAACTAAAGCAGCCCAAACTGCAAAAGAATGAATCTGGAAGAGTCACCTGCGCTATGTGAAGACTTACTATAGAGTTCTAGTAATCACGACAGTGTGGGATTGGCGACAGAATAGATCAGTGGAACAGAACAGATAACCCAGAAACAGACTCACGGAAACCACGAACTGATTTGTGACAAAGATACGCTGACAATAAAACATGCTTTTTTTTTAAAAAAAGACTTATTTATTTGAGAGAGAGAGAGATTGAGCATGAGCCAAAGGGGAAGAGAGAGGTAGAGAGAGAATCTCAAGTAGACTCTGTGCTAAGCTCTGAGCCCAACACGAGGCTCAGTCTCAGGATCCTGAGATCACAACCTGAGTCGAACTCAAGAACTGGATGCTCAACCAACTGCACCACCCAGGTGCCCCTCAACATGCTTTTTAAAGATGGTGCTGGAACAACTGGATATCCCAAACAGGAAAGAACATTCACTCTGAGCTGAAACTTGTCCCTTACACTAACATTAAATCAAAATGGACTACTGACCTAAATCTAAAACATAAAACCATAAAACTTCTAGAGGAAACATAGGAGAAAATGTATGTGACCGTGGGATTGCCATTCGTTTTCAGATAGGACACCAGTAGAATCTATAAAAGAAGAAATTGATAAATTGCCCTTTATAAATATTAACAACCTCTGCTAAAGAAACTGTTAGAGGAATGACAAGGACAAGCCACGGAATGGGAAAAATATTTGCAAACCACATATCCAATAAAAGAAATGTATCAAAAATACAAAAATTGCTATAACTCTTTGTTTATACACATGTCTTCCTCTATGGACTGTGGACCATGTTCTCTTATGTTTGTTTCACCATTGCTTGAATACAATAGGTATTCTTTAAGTAATTGCTGAATGAGTGCATGAATGAACAAATGAGTGGATGGATGTTTGGATGGATGGATGGATGGATGGATGGATGGATGGATGGATGGATGAGTGGATAGAGGGGTAGATAGGTGAATGGATGGATGGATGGATAAGTGGATGGTTGGATGGATAGGTAGATGGATAGATAGGTGGATGGGTGGATGGATGCATGGATGGATGCATGGATGGATGCATAGGTGGACGGATGGATGGATGGGTGGATGGATGGGTGGATGGATGGATATGTGGATGGAAGGATGGATGGGTGGGTGGGTGAATGGATGGATGGATGGATGGATGGATGGATGGATGGATGGATGGATGGATATGTGGATAGATAGGTGGATATGTGGATGGATGTGTGGGTGGATGAGTGGATCGATGAGTGAATGGATAGGTGGATAGGTGGATGTATAGGTGGCTAGGCAGATGGATGGATGGGTGGGTGAATGGATGGATGGATGAGTGGATGGATGAGTGAAGGGATAGGTGGATAGGTGGATGTATAGGTGGCTAGGTGGATGGATGGGTGGATGGATGGATGGATGGATGGATGGATGGATGGATGGATGGATGGATAGATGGATGGATGGATGGATAGATGGATAGGTGGTTAGGTGGAGGGATGGGTGAGTGGATGGGTAGATGGATGGATGGGTGGGAAGATGGAAGACTAGATGGATGGATGAGCAGTGAGCAGGGAGCTAGGAACACTGAAAAAAACAAAGTGCTCAGGTCTGAGTATTGTCAAGGTCTGAATTTACATTGGGATGTGTGTGTGTGTGAAATGACTACGTTTGCAAGTGGTAGATCAGTAGGAATGTGGTAAACAGGGAGCCCCACTCCTAACTCAGCCCCGAAGCCAGAGAATCTATCCAGTGAAGGCTGGCTGATGGAGTGAAACCTTTATAGGATGAGAAGTTTAAAATAACAAGGCAAGAGTTAGCACTGACCATGAGAGGAGGTTGGGAAAGAGACGGGGTGTGGCTCAGCACTTGGAGAGCCGGGGGCTCCCTGGAGGAGGTGGCACTCTGGGATGCTTGTCTTGCTGGACCTGTTCAGGTTGCAGCAATGTCCAGCCCTGCCCAGTGCAGGGCAGGTGGCCTCAGTCCATGCGGAAAGGTGCACACGGACCACGGAGAATTTTGCCCCGACAGCAGGTGAATCCCCAGCACACCCTGACTTCTGGGATGTGTGCACATACCATTCCCCACCACGCAGTGCTCACTACTGTGAAAAGGGCCCCGCAGCACCAAGTCAGGGCCCACAGGTCAGACCCGGAAAGACGGCGGGATGTGTCTGTTCGGCTTCTTCCCGGAAGACGGAACAGTGGGCCTCGGGAGAAGTCTGCGAAGGTGCCTGGCAGGACCGCGCACAGGTGGCAGTGGGCAGCCAGCGTCAGGATGCCCACCAGCTGCAGGGAGAAAGACCCGTGACTCTGGGCCCTGGGCCTAGGAGCCCAAGACTGGTGTGCGGGCCGCCAAGCGCCTTAAAATAACAAGCTTGGAGAGGAGGTTTTCGGAGCGTTGATCAGGTCATCCCTAGTGGCCCGGCTCTGTCTCATGCACACCCTCTGGGGCCCTGCTCCCCTCTCCTCCCTCTCCCCCTTCCCTTGTTCCTCCCTCCCTCCTCCTCCCCCCCACTCTCATCCGCCTCTCCTTCCAAAAAAAACCAAAAAAAGTAGTTACTCCTCTCCCCTCTAAAACCCTCAGTTTGTTTCTCAGAGTTCATAATCTCTCATGGTTCATCTCTCCCTCTGAAAGCCCCCCCCTTCATTGTTCCTTTCCTTCTCCTAATGTCCTCCATGCTATTCCTTATGTTCCACAAATAAGTGAAACCAAGTGTACTTCTTAGATGAATGCTTTTGTCTAATTGGAATGCTCCTCTTAATGACCATTGTAAATTCTAGGCTGCCTTAGTAATATTTTGCTTTTTTTTTTTTTTTTTT